CTATTACACAGCGCCAAATATTCCCCTAGCGGTGATTTTTGGAACTATTTTTTTTTCGCGGAATCCTTCGTTCCCCGTCTTGTTTAATCTTCCTACAAAATGTGGCGTCATTCTCGCAAATAGATCGCGCTACAGAACACTGAGCACTGTCAGTTTAATTATGGCCACCCGTTACTTTTCTGTCGCTCTCTTTTTCATCCACGCATTTTTCGTGCCAAAACTTAAATGAAATAGTGAGCGATTATAAGGAGGAAAGAAGTGCTATTTAAGCGAAGGCTTCGAAAGTTGATTTTAGAGCGTGCTGTGCCTACTTCAGGCCACCTTGTTATCGTGACTAAATAGCGATTTGATTCTGTGGCGTTGAGTGCTTCTACCCATTAGACTTATCTCGCTGGTTTTCTACAAACCAGAGCCTTACTGCGGGTTATTTTATCATGCGAGTCATTAAGCTAATCTAACTACATTTAATTTTAATTCAGCATTTCTTGTTTAAGTTAAAGTCCAAGTGGGGCGGTCTGTAAGTGTTTGAATAAAAGAGTCTTAAACACCTTTCTTCTGACTTTTGTTTGTATTATAAAACTTGAAGATAATTCTTCTACAGTCTTTTCAGAGCTTGTTAGTGTATGCTTCCCAAGCATGCAAGACGTTATAAGTGGAATTGTGTTTTATTAAAAAGAATTAAAGACTAGCTCTATTAACAATAACCGAATATCACTGTAAATTTGCCTTACCAGGCGGTCTTTTTACTTTTACTGCATTAATGAACTATTTCTCTAGTACTAGTTCACAGCGGACGCGTCGGGAAATGGAACACGGAAATTGAGACTTGGTTTAAATTTATATTGGAACTTTTTATAATAAATAATTTGTTGGCTATCAGTCTCAATGCCTGTTCTACGAAACGCGTTCCGGAATTTATCAGAGTTCGAATATCAATATGCATTTCCCTTGAAGTCCATGATGATGTTCGAATTAGGCTAATTATTCCATTTACCGCTGCTTGTGGTTCTTATTATTTTAAATATGATATTTTGTTGTATTTTTTCTAATATATAATAAGATAGCTTGCACTTTATTTTACATACATTTTTACTTTTAAATTCCAATCAAGTTAAGCATTTATTTTTAGCTTTTCTTTCTTATTTTTTCATACATTCTATATTTTTACATTTTATATTGCAATTAGATTTTTACTATGTGTTTATACTTATGTGCATAGAAACGAAGTATCGCTTTAGACATAGGCTATAGCTTGAAGAATTACTTTTGAACTTTATTTTCAAATTTTGAAGCTCAATGCGCAAAATTCTTAACCTCACATGTCCTTTTTGTCTAGTTCATAAGCTTTTCTTACATTAAAAATAGTCTAATTATAGAGTTATCCATTATTACAATTCTTGCAGTTTACTTTCATACAACTGTAAAACAGAGCTAACTTTAATATCTTACCTTTAATCTCAACTGTAGTGTTCTAGATCTGCAGAAATCTACTAATAGAAAACCAATAATAAGCTGTCGATTCAGATGATTCGTAGTACTTTTAGCGGAGAACTGAAGGAGTGATAATAATAAAAAAAAACATGCTACACGAATCCGTAACACCAGTCTGTAACAACCAATGTATGATCCTAAACCACAAGAGACCAATTAGTACGCTAATATGTCTTGCCCAGTCTTCGCCTCGGTAAACCGAACGTTCAGTGTAATGGGCACCCGGTTAGAAACCTATCCCAGTATAGCAACAGTTTTTCCATTTTTCGATTGTTGTCGAGCATGGTAGTGGAATAAAGATCTACAAGTCCTTGAAATAATGGATAGTAGTAGTCGATGTAGTGGCCAGGAGTTATAAGATGAGTACAGTGACGGAATTGATAAATATTCACTTTCGAAGGCTAGCAGTTGCAGAGTGCGTAGCTGGCTGGAGAGCTTAGGTAGAGCTGCATCGTGGGGCCATCTAATGACCATTCCGGAAAGATCTTAAGCCTGGAAGCTTTAAGGGATCTTAAGCCTTAAGGAAGGAGTGGGTACGATCATCAGCTAAGGAGGAGAAAGGTGATTGGTGGGCGAGAGATCCTGAGTGTACTGGGGTTCTTTTCATTGCCATACAATTTTGAAGGATAGCCGAAAGTAGGGGGGAGGGAGGGATTAGCCTGCTAGATGGAAGTTTAAAGTTAAGAAAATAAGTAATGGTTTAAATGCCCAATCTTATGGACGGATGCTGTTCTAAGATTTTTTGCTGAGGAAGTTTTGCTCAAACTGTTGAATAACCAGCAGATACAGATCTGCAGACGAACACAGATCCAGGTCCGACTTTCAGAACCATACGGAGTTTTGTGTCTATGGTCCCGGGGATCTCATTCTCGCGGGCGCAACCCCCCCCCCAGTTTCGGCTTTATACAAAGCATTGGGCAGAACAAACGTAGATATGGATTTTCGTAGTCCTGTTGCCACCGGACACCCTTCCATCGTCATCATTCGTCAAAAGTGCGTTCTGTCACGAGTCCCTGTTACGAGAACTGAATGGAGTCAAATCTCTGGGGATTTGGTCGACGATCTTCGATCTAGCTCCACAACAGCCAGAAGAACAGACACAACAGTACCAGTATGGCCCCTGCCAAGCCTGAACCAGCCTTAGACTGAACTAGGCCTCTAGTATTATGAAGTCAAATTATGGACCCCCGTGGTTAAGACTGCCGAAGTACAGATCCTAGCCAGTACTTCCCAGGAATTCTCCTGAGTCATCCCCCCCGGAGGAAAACCAACATATACAGTAGCCGTTGCCCCGTGATATGTAATTCCAGCAATGTGAGGTCCCAACCCATTGTGGACGTGATGTTGCGACATTTGGGCAACGGTGGATTGGGCGTAGTGGTGCTATTCATTGGTCTGCGCTATTAGCCAGCCCTATCCTCCTTGGATTTTATTCCTGGAATCACGTGACAGATCTGGTGTACGATACACCTGTGGATAGTGAGGAGGTTTTTGTTGCACCCATCTGCATAGCTATCATCATGACAGTCCGAAAGACGCTTGGAATATTTCCTTACCTGCGTGATTTCTTGTGGCGCCAAAGTGAGATTTCTGTTGCAGCTGTTCGTCAAAATTCAAACCCCTCGAGTCCGACTTCTCGTACTATTACAATTGCTATATTTTGATGGTTAAAATAATATCTTTCGATTATGTGTTGCTCTTTCGTTTCTGATCTTTTCTACTTACTTGCACATGTTGATGGCGTTTACGAATTTTCATAGCTATCTGAACCTGATTTATCATTGAATAATCTACTCCTCTCAGAAGTTTACATACGCGATAGCGAATAACCTTATATGTGTAATGCATTAGTAATAAGTTCTAGAAGTGTCTGTCAGTTCATGCTGCCGTATATAAAAGCTGTATAGTATGCACATTTTGAAATCTGGCATCTTTGCTTTAAGACAGGGCTTCTGAAACTGTGGTCGCGGGACCTGCAGTAGGGGATCGCCAAAAATTCTAGCAGTTTTGATATTTCTTGAACTTATTATAATAAGTTTACGATTACCAAATATTTTTGTATTTGAAATGTATCTGAAAATAGATAAAGATAAGACAATACAGACAAAGAAAAAAAAAAAAAAAAAAAGGAAACGTTTCGACTCATTCTTTTTATAATATAAACGTTCATTTTTCTTGCTTTGCAGGTGATGCTGTCATTTCGTCTCCTACTTATTTAAAATTTTCACATTGTTCTATGTCTTAAAATTAGAAATTAAAGTTAATGACCTAAAACTGCAATAGTACATTACAGTATAAGTGAAAAACTCGACAGTTTGACTCACGCGTGTGTCGGATTTGCGCAATGCTTATGGGGTCCCACAAAAATTTTGTAAATATTATGGGGTCCTGGGGGTTGCGAAAAACTCTCAGTGATAAAAAGGAGTCGCAAATGAAAAAAGTTTAAGAAACCCCTGCTTTAAGGAATAATAATGCCATTGTGATTTATGGATCTAAAATTAAAAAATATAATAAAAAGGAATTTATTTGAAAGAATGGACGATGTTACCTTTTTCCCCGCTCTTGCACAATGAAAGGGAAAGGTAAGTAGGTTACTATAAATTAAGAATTTCACTAAGTGAATTATTCTTGGCGCAAACTGAAAAAAAGGCGCCAAGATAAAGGCTTGAATGTCTCTTTAAGTTGCTGAACAAATTGTACAAATTTTAATATTTAAGTATAATTTGAGTCCTAGAATCGGAATATGAGAAAAAATCGGTATGTCATTTCAGAAAAATTCCAATTTTGTTTCGAAATACCTATGTCATAATGTATATATGTAAATATAATATATCATAAGTCGCGCTTTCGATACATGAAAAACACGAGGTAAATTTTATCGACTGGCCCAGCAAAACGGGAGATATTGAACACTTCCCGCATTCTTTTTTGTTCTGTGTATACATTTGCAGGGTGGTGGTGTATTTAATTATGGCAAAACACACTACGGCTATCTGCCTAAGGGGAGGGATACCTTCGTGAAAGACTTTGTAAGGGAAACTGGCTCGTATATACGTTACACATGGGGAAAACCAAGAAAACACACATGCAGCCACGCCCGTTTGCGGGATTCGAACCTCGGGCCGAACTACCAGTGTTCAGCGACTTTACCGCTCAGCCGCTGGTGGGCTACATTTGCAGAGACATGAATTTAATTTCAAATTTAGTAATCTTAGTTTATATTTATGATTTATTTTTTAGTGAGTTTTACAACCAATTCTCTGCCTGAAACACTATTTATAAATTATAACACAAGCACGTAGACAAACACACACGCAGACACACACATGTTTGGGAAAACCATGTAAAATGAAAATAATTCGTAACTTTAACAACATTTGAAATTTTGAAAAATTATTCAATGCTGCATACCTTGTTTTTCTCTAACGGATTAAACTCTGATAATTGTAGAAAGAGCGTAATAAATTACATGTGTTTTCATGTAGTTATTAGTGAACAAGTTGTCTTACTTGATTTGCCTGCTTTCCACAGACGAGCTTCGATTTAGTTTGGTGATCAAGATTCTAACAATATTCACCATGAAGACACTGTTAACCTAAAAGATGCAAAACATTACTGTTATTGGTAAAACAAAGCACATAATAACAATAGCGATCATAAAAGCTTTGAACATTTCATACTCGTATAAATTCTCTCATTTGTAACTAAAATTTCCAAGTGAAAAGTAATGCCATTTGAGATGAGACAAGGATTCAAGATGTATTTTACTTAATAACCAAAATCATATTTGTTATTATGTATTCGAATATTTAAATGTACTTGAAAGGTAGAAAATCTAAGGGCGGGGTAATTGAAAATTGTTTTGTAAAATGTACTAATTAAAAAAATTAATGATAGTTAATTTTTTACCATCAAGTATTTAAAAGAATATTTTAATTGTATTTTAAACAATTCCTGCTTTTTGTATCTAGGAATATTACTTTGTTATAAAGGAAAGTGTATCTGACTTTTTTGAAAATATAAAAATAGTCCTGAAATGTGAATATTAGAGCTAAAAGAAAGGTTTCGAGTAATTTCGATTTAAACACGACGAAAAACGGACATCAAGAAGCACTAATTAAACATGAAAATTTGTAAAAAAGTTAATGTGAGAAGAGGTAAACTTAAATCTAATTAAAAAAAGGTTTAAAAGTCCTAAGTTTCAAATCAGATTAAGAAAGTAAACATTTTACTGTTATGTATATTAAATTTATTAAAAAATATTTACTTTAATTTAAAGAACTGAAGATTTTGATTATAAATCATAAAAAAGAAAATCTGAAAGTTTTCAGATTTTATATTACGTCCCAAAGGGCGTTTATTAACGTTTTGTGTGTTAAATTTATTTATTACTTATCATATTCTTCACACTTAAATCACATAAAATTCAGTTCATCAGCACTATGACAAAATATTCAAAAACAACATATCTTTAGAATTTCCGCTGCACAGTCACGCGGCTGGAGATAAAAATATTTTTTACCGTACAGTACCGTCTATTTATTATTGCTCGCCTTGAAATCGTTGAGTTTGTTAATTAAAAATTCGTTAAAGTTTACAGTATTTGAAATAGATAATAAAATTATTGCTCGCCTTGAAATCGTTGAGTTTGTTAATTAAAAATTCGTTAAAGTTTACAGTATTTGAAATAGATAATAAAATTATTGCTCGCCTTGAAATCGTTGAGTTTGTTAATTAAAAAGTCGTTTAAGTTTACAGTATTTGAAATAGATAATAAAACAAATTGGAATTCAAAATTTGGGCTTCCAAGTGCCCATGTTCGGTTGGAGGATTACGTTATTCAAAATTTGATGGCTCTAGGTACCGTTTTTACAAAGCGAGAAACATTCATGCATTCATGCAGATTCTTCATTATTTAGTTTCTTTAAGTATAATACATGGCGATGATATTTGGTGGCAACTGTTTGAAAAGCGAACCAAAGCAGAAAGTAGTCATTTTGGATCTAACTCCCCTTTGGCCTAATAATATGGCGTTACAAATTTGATTGTAGAAATACATTACAATACGAATCCTTCATCAGATTGCCATCGCAAGTTTTACATATTACTTATTATCGATAAAGGTATCTGCAAATAAAATAAGTCTACTGATAAATTTAAATTTGAAATTTTGTATTTTAAAGGATGAGTTTAACTTGTGATTGCTCTAAATAAATGTTTATAGATAATTATGTACAGATATTTATGTGCAAATCTCTACATATAATAAAAGAAAGAGTCTGTGTGTGTGTGTGTGTGTGTATGTATGTCTTTCGTTCGCGCTGCGCGACAGACTAATAGACCCACAGCTACGAAATTTGGTACATAGTTGCATCTAGACAAGAGCCAGTGCACTTCGAAGCGATTTTTTCGAAATTCGAATTCGAGTTTTTTTTAATTTTATCAATAGGAAAACGAGATTTTACTCTACACATTCCATTTTCACATCGTCATGAAACGTAGACACTTAGCTATTTTACGAACTTAAAATAAATTTCGTGTTTCAATAAATCGATTCAATACGAATTTATTTAACAACGTGAGCTTAACACCTTTTCAACGGGGTTTTATTATAAAAAAGTTTATTTTTAAAAATCTACAGTTTATTTTTCTTTGATTTTTGGACACGTTAAACTTTCATCCTTGCGACTGCTTTTACAAAAAGAATTTTGGAAAAATGATAGTATTTTGTATTTTTAAAAAAATTTTAAATTAAGCTTCCGAGTACACTTCTCAGATCTCGCATCTTTAAAAATGTGATTTTGGCAACCATTTTCCTGTCTTGTTGTTGTTGATAGATTTTTGATGAAATCGCATCATTTTGAATAGTTTCATTCTTTTAGAAATACGGGTTTGGCAACAATTTTTTATCGTATTTCTTAAGTCACTGTTTTTAAGAGATTGGCATATTTCATTGTCATTTTTTTTATATATATAATACTTTTTTTTTTTTTTTTTTTTGATAAAGTTGTTCTTCAGAGTAAAATTCTGCGCAGAATTTTTTGTTTTTTGAGTTTCTTTCATGTTATTTTTTGCTTATTTCACTATTTTAAGATATTGAAGAGTTTTGCATGTTTTTTTTCTTCAACGGAAAGTTGGTTAATTTTTTTAGTAGGATAATTAATATTTGTATTAAGGGATATAGCTTATTTCATTGTAATTTTTTCTCTTGAAAATATAAGATAAAATATCATTAATTACACTTCGCTTTTCAGTATTTTTTGTTTTTTTTTGTATTCTTTTATGTTATTTATTGCTCATTTCATTGTCTTTAAGATATTGAAAAGTTTTGAGTGAATTTTTTTTAGGAAACAAAGTTCTTAACCTCCTTTATGCCATTTGAGTTCTTAAGATTTTGCAAAGGGAAGTTGGTTAATTTATTTATTAGGATAATTAATATTTTTATTTAGGGATATTGCTTATTTCATTGTAATTTTGTTATACGTAATAACTTTTATTTTTATGAAGTTGTTCTGCAGAGTAAAATTCTACGCAGTTTTTAAATTTAACGTTTGATGTTCCCTTCAGCCATTTTCCCGGTACATTTAAAAGCCAGACGAAGGCTGGCAAAGAAGCTGCTAATTATACAATATATTAACTAAACACTTTCATTTGCAAATATTAGAATTAAAAGTAGTTACAAATATTAGAATTATTTGTATAAAGAGTTCGTATTCCGTTATGGTGTTTCGAAAAAAAAAAAGAAAAAAAAAGTGCTTTCGGAAAACATATGATCTCTAAAATGCTTAAAAGGATGCCTCAAAACATTTAGGACTGTGAAAAAAAAATAATGGTATTAAGAATCTTTGCCATTCGAGCTAATTTTAAAACTAATTTAATTAACTAATTGATTAAGTCGTGCTTCTCAATCTTTTCGACACCTGACAGGATCTGCAAATAATCTCAGAAATTATTTTCTTCTTAAACAACGAGTGTGAAATGAAAATAAGAAACCTTTTTCAAGCCACCGGACTAAAGTTCGAAAATCCATGATCTGAAAGTCCTGAAGAAGAAATGATTTCAGAGCTTAAGAGATAAAGAGATCGAACAACTGGTCATCAACTGAGCCTTTTTATCGTTAAGAAATGAGGCATTATCAGGAAGCGGTAAAAGTCATCACTCTGCCAAACAGAGGAATTACAAGAAATCTCCCAGAAAGACGAAGCGTAGGATAACTTTTAAGTATTTTGGGATGTTGTTAAGGGGTGTTGGAACTCCAAAATCTTCAAAACATTTTGATTTCTGATTTTTGCATTTTCAAATTTTCTACACTTTTATCTTTCTAAAAATACCATTCTTTAATCTCTATGAAAATTAGAACTGTAAAACAATCTAGTTTTAATTTGTCTTCAACTGCTTTGATCAATGAGGATTTTTACATAAAAATGTGTTTTTCTCCAAACGGGATTTTTTTTATACTCGATGTACCTTTTCTCAGGAACTACTGCTCACAGGTATCTAAACTTTTTATGGCTTATTTATTAGGTTCCCTAATATTTACTGAAATGAGCTTTTTGTAATAAACTTAGAAAAAAAAATTTAAAATTTTTTTTTTTGTGTGAGAAAAGTGCTCAATTTTACTATGCCTAACAAAATATTCTGTAATTTACTTTAAAATTCAAAATGCTTCAAAAGCTTAAATTTTTTACCTTGAAATTTTGCCTAAAATCAAACGGCGAACCCTACCTGTGCCCAGACCGGGCTCACCGATAACCTAGGACAACTGAGAGTCTGTATTCTTTTTTCCTCCGCATCTCATCGGTCAGTTCTTTGACAACAATGCATGTTTCAGCACTCTTTTCGAAGCTCTATTCAATCAGTGTGCCACTTTGGGCACACCCACAGAATTAAAACGATAAGTGCTAGCTTCTCAAAATTTTACTTGTGTACTCCTCTAGGCCTAATTAGACTTTTTTTTTTAATAAAAACTTGGACTTTAAAAGGTAGCTTGCCGGAAAGGGTTAATAATAAAAAGAAAAAAAAAAGTTTTGTGAGAAAGATAAATATTGATACGACGAACTGAAAAAAGACCGAAGGAAAAAAAAAAGAAAGAATTGAAAGCTTTCATATTTTATACTGCGTCCAAACGGGCGTTTCTTTCATTTATAGACACATGCACGTTTCGAGGGCATTTTGGTTAACGCCGTATTGTACTAAAACTATTTAAAAACATCATATGTTTAGAATTTCTGATAGACAGTCTCGCACGCTGGAGATAAAAAATGGTTTTATTTATTTTTTTATTTCCGTACAGCGTTTCCCATTCGCTCGCTTTGAAATCACTCAGTTTGGAGTTGTAAATCAAAAAATTTGTTATAAGTTTTACAAAATATGAAATAACAATAAAAAAATTCGAAATTCCAAAAATTGGGCTTCCAGTGTTGCCCATGTTCGCGGTAGGAGGATGTACGTTATTCAACAATTTTGATGGCTTCTAGGTAGCTGTAGTTTTATCACAATGCGAGAGAAACCTACAGTACATTCATGCAGATTTTCCATTATTTAATTTCTTTATATATAATATAGTACGATAGTGCTTGGTGGCAACAATCTGAG